ACAGAGGACCACCATATTGCCATTCCTATAACGGATAGGCAGGCCTTCTGCAGGTTCCTCGTTAAGCATAAGCAAGCCAACAATACGCCAAATCACTGCCGTCATGTCAAAGCTAATGACACTTGGCACAGAATTGTGTCAAACTGCTTAATGTAACTTATGGTGTCAAGCAGCATAGTGACTACTACATAGGAATCACAAATTTATGCATGTACTATGCCTATTTTTCACATCAGACTATTTATATACAGACTGCAACCCAATCTGCAGATTACCTTTCCTTGTGCAATTAGTAATGTTACAATATTTCAACATAGTGACCTTTTCTGCATGTATATTACATGCAAATTAATATAACCTGCATTATATAATAATGTGTGTAGTATGTGAAATGCAGGTTTGTAATATGCACTATGTAAAACTTGGCACAGAATTGTAAGAAACTGCTTAATGTATCCTTCAGTAATTGTAAACTGTACTATTTAATGTGTGTAATATGTACCATGCTAATATTGTAGTAATATGTACCATGCTAATATTATTATATTATGTACCATGCTAATATACTAAGTAATTGTAAACTGTAAATGCGTGTAATATGTACCATGCTAATATTCTAAGTAATTGTAATCTGTAAATGTGTGTAATATGTACCATGTCTCAGTAATTGTGTGTAATATGTACCATGCTAACACTCTCAGCACTTAAACTTAAGCACTATGCAATCTCTCACTAAATGTTTAATGTACTATGAAATGTGTGTTATATGTACCATGCAAGTATCAATTAATATTATTAACTATTAATGAACTTCTTAGTAAATATAATCAGTCTTATGTAATGTATGTACTATCTATCATGCAAGTCTGTAAATAATAATGAATGCATAATGTAAACCTAAGTACCTAATTAAGTATGATTACGTAAATATGAACTCAACGGATGCAACGTACCTTAAACATAAGTTATATTCAATTTCCAGGTAAACGCAATATATAGTATGTAATGTGTAAAATACATACCTTGCAATATGAATGTTTATGTATCATACAGGCCTGGATTTGCAAGTCTGAACGTATTAAGTACTTTAAAGACAAGTATTCATCAATCACTCAATAAATGTAAACTGTACTATAATAAGCAAGTAATATGCACCATGCAAGTATTAATTAATATCATAAACTATTAATTAATTTCTTAGTAAATGTAATCAATATTATGTAATGTGTGTACTATGTACCATGCAAGTCTGTAAACAATAATGAATGCATAATTATGTTTAATTAATATTAAAATATTGAACCTTGCGGATGCAACGTACCTTAAACATAAGTAAAAACAATTTCTGAGTAAATGCAATATATAGTATGTAACGTGTGAGAATATGTACCATGCAATATGAATGTATATGCATCAAGCAAGTTTGAATAGGGTATAGAACATATAATAGTCATGCAAGTCAGAATATGGTAATAGGTAAATGCAATTCTGCAAGTCTGAACATAACGAAATTAAGTACTATTAAGTTTCTCAATAATTGTAATCTGTACTATTTAATGTGTGCAACATGTACCATGTTAATATTATTGTAATATGTAACATGCTAATTTTCTCAGCAATTGTATTTTTTTTTAACTGTAAATTGTAAATGTGTGTAATATGTACCATGCAAATATACCCCATGTCTCAGTAATTGTGTGTAATATGTACCATGTCAATATTCACAGTACTATTTAATGTGTATAATATGTACCATTCTAATTAATTAGCATGCACTATTTAATGTGTGTAATATGTACTATGCAAACTGTAAATAATAATTAATGCGTAAAGTGTGCTAACCTAAGAACCCAACTATACATACTTATAGTAAGAATTGAATCAAACAGGTGTAAAGTACCTTAAACATAAATATTAAGTACCCTAAACAAAAGTATTAATCAATCTGTCAGTAAATGTAAACTGCACTATGAAATGTGTATGATATGTATGATATGTACCATGCAAGTATTAATTAATATTATTAATTAATAATTAAATTCTTAGAAATGTAATTTGTATTATGTAACGCGTGAACTATGTACAATGCAAGTCTTCTCAGTAAATATAAGCTGTACTATGTAATGTATATAATATGCACCATGCAAACCTGTAAACAATAATGAATGCGTAGTGTTAAACTGTGTGTTAACCTAAATACCTAAGATGTAAAGTACCTTTAACATAAGTATTAATCAATCTCTCTGTGTGTAATATGTACCATGCAAGTCTGTAAATAATAATGAATGCATAGAGTTAACCTAAGTATCTAATCATGTAATAATAACGTAAATATTGAACCTTACGGATGCAAAGAACCTTAAACATAAGTCATATTCAATTTCCCAGTAAATGTAATGTGTAATATGAAATGTGTGAAATATGTACCATGCAATATGAATGTAAATGCACCATGCAAGTATGAATAAGCAAGTCCGAATATGGTACGGCATGTGTAATAGGCGTGCAAGTCAGAGAATGGCAATATGTACCATGCAAGTCTGAATGGGTAGCGATAACCTAAGTACCTAATTATGTCATTCTAGATAAGGGCGGGCGTGGTGCTCATACCAATTAACCGTAACGGTAGAGGGATGGTGCCCACGTCCTCCGTCACTCACTCACTCACTTATTTGTTCTTTTGCTAACACAAACAAAGATCCGAGACGGTTTAGCTCTCTTCTATCTTCTATTCAAAATCGCAGATTAAGTTAATTTACTAAAAATAAATTATTACTTTAAATAGCATTTTGAAGAACAGTTACTACAAATAAAGTTTATCCTAAAATTAAATGAAAACAAATTTAAATATTACACGACTAGCAAGTTAGATGATAAAGAATTTAATAAACAAGCACAAATGTGTGCTGAGGAAGTAAACAAGCAAAAAGAAGTAATAATAATAAGATAATTAAACAATTAAATTACAAAAAAAGAAAAAAAAAGAATCTGAAAGCTTTCAAATTTTACATTACGCCCAAGAGGGGCGTCTTTTTAAAGTCTATTCGCTATTTCGAATTATTTTTGTTATTTGAACTTATTACTTTACAAATTACTAACTGGATTAAGACACAATAACACGCCGAATAAATACTGATTCAGAAGACAAACAACAAAAATCAGCGTTATATTTACAAAATTTCCACAGGACTAGTTTCGATGGTTTTACCGAACCACCATCCTCAGAGCTGCAAAACCGGGCTTTTTTTTTTTAACGTTTTGTTTGTTACCTTTATTTATTAAATATCATGTTCTTCGCACTTAAACCATAAAATTCAATTCAACAGCAATATCATAAAATAATTTTAAAAGAGCATATATTTAGAATTTCTGCAGTCTTGCGCGCTGGAAATTAAAAAAATAATTTTTTTTTTCCGTATAGTGTTGCCATTGCTGGCTTTGAAATCGTTGAACTTGTTAATAAAAAATTCTTTAATGTTTGACAAAGTATGAAATCGATAATAAAACAAATTCCAAATTAGGGCCTTTCAGATGCCGATATTCGGGGTAGGATTACGATATTCCAAATTTGATGGCTGTAGGTACCGTTGTTTTATCACAATACGAGAAACATACATACATTTATGCAGATTCTTCATTGCATAATTTCTTTAAAAAGAACACAGGGCGATAATAGTTGGTGGCAACAATTTGAAAAGTGAAACGGATATTTAAAGTTTTCGACGCAAAATGCCAAAACGAAATTATGCCCTTCTGGGTTAATGCCATTTGGTCTAATTAAAGCTAATTCATATTCGGTGGAGGATTGCGTTATTTAAAATTTGATGGCTCTAGGTACCATTGTTTTATCGCAATGCGAGAAACATACATACATTTATGCAGGTTCTTCATAATTTAATTTCTTTATATATAACATAGGGCGATAATATTTGGTGGTAATAGTTTGAAAAGTGAAACGGACATTTAAAGTATTCAACGCAAAATGCCAAACCGAAATTAATAGCCTTTCTGGGCTTACGCCCTTTAGGCTAATAATATGTTTAAAATAATAATAATATGTTTAGGCTAATAATATGTTTCTGGGCTTACGCCCTTTAGGCTAATAATATGTTTAAAACTATGCAAATTGAGTGAAATTTTTAATGTATGTAAATGTGTATCTAATTTAGGCAAAACATTCTTTAGCTTACTTTTAATTTTTTAAGAAAAATTGTATGAATTTTGAGAGAGCTTTCTTTGTTTCTCTAAGGGAAAAGATTGTTATTAATGTCTGCAGAAATTCATCACAGTTACTGTTATTCGAATCTGCAAAAATTTATAAAACACTTCTCTAAAATAAATACCATCTGAACTTTTCCTGATCTCAAACCTTAGCTACTTCTTTTACGTACACTTAAGATGAGAGAATTGTCAGCAAAGTACTAACGGTTAGAGCCTAATCATGCAAATTTTTTCTTCTCCAAAACTGCAATTTTTTATAACATTATCTCCTAGTATACTCCGTTTTATTATTAAGAGTATTTATTAATTAATTTATGTATTTTTCTTTTAGCAGGAAATAATTTGCAAAAACAGCTATGTTTGTTTAAGAAATTAAGGTTTTATTTGGTAATACTGGATTAAACGACAAGCTTGGTTGTCACTTGGGGCGCTAAATTGAATGAGATGTAAATTATAGGGAGCAAAATTAAATAAGTCGTTTTTCAGGAGATTATTGTAGTGCTTTTAAAATGCCTTCTTCTCGGGGGCGTAGAAACATGTGTTTCCTGTCTTGCCTTTCAGAATTCATTGTTTAGAAAAATGTCTATAGCCTGTTCTGTCTTTCAGAATTCATTGTTTAGAAAAATGTCTGTAGCCTGTTCTGTCTTTTGGAATTCATTGTTTACGAAAATGTCTGCTTCTCGCCTTATCTTTTAGATTTCATCGTTTCCAGGATTCTAATTTCTACAGCTTAATTAAAATGAAACATTTTTTCCTTTAAGTAAATGTGTGAAACTTACATTTGGAATGCTGAATCCAAATCCTTTCGTCCTCAATATCATTTTCCTTTGAAGTGTTTTCATCAATCTGAAAGTCAAAACCAAACCCTGAATTAGCATTTATTAGTATATTTCGGTTACACTTTTAATTTCCGACGCAAACATGAAATAAAAATGAATAAAATGAAAAACGCATTTCTCTTTCAATATTACAAATTTGCGGCAATATACTTTTTCTGGTAACGAAATCTTTTTGAAACCATGCGAAAGCGCATATTCTTTTCGATCATCTCAGATTATCACTCTGTGGCAGATACCGAAAAAACTGCTTAACTTTCCCATAATCATTTAAAATGATTCGCTGGTGTAGTTACGAATAGCTGTAATAACGCCACTTAAGATATCCTATTCCTGGAGGAGAAATTTATATCGGCTTAACCACTTCGTTTTTCACAGAAAAATTCTTTTACGTTGCAAAATATATTTCTTTATTTTTTTTATTCTACAATATATTCTGAATTATTCTATGTAAGCTTCTGCCTCATTCTGGATAATTTTCATATCTCTCTCCTGTATTATTCGTCTTCTTTCATACCAGAGAAATTTTGGTGGAGAGAGAGCAGTTTATACTCCTAAAGAAAATTGTGGCTTCATACCTGAAAATTACAATAGTCTGTTTAAGCAATATCCAGTGAATTTCAAGACCTGCAGCGGAAGGTCTCCCTGTAACTTCCTCTGAGCAGATGAGTGGGGCCTTGCATTGGCGTGATCGAATACTTGTTGAGTATTAACTAGCCTCACTAATCATGTCCTTTCTGTGAGTAGGTTCTAATCAGCGGAATACCCAGAAATTAATTTTGGGGGGTTGCATATAGTCATTACCATGAAAGAAGCAATTATATCATTTGGTAAAAACTAAATAAGATATATTAGTCTTATTTCTCCTAATTAAAACTGTTCGAGGATTGATATAATTTTTATCACGTTATAAAAATTATAAAAATAGAAGAACATTTAAGGAAAATAATAAAGATACCACGAAAACAAAAATTCTTATTTATCAGAATCGGTGGGATTTAGCATCATTAAAAAATTGATAAAAATCATTTAATGACTGAAAAAATTGTCACGATTTTGAAAGTGGTTTAAAAGGCTCGAGTATATGGAAAGGAAAAAATACTATATATATATATCAGCTTTGAAAAGTTATATTTATTTTTAGTCTTGTTTTTGCAAAATATTGAAGACTTCTTCACTTACAGATATATTTATATATATGTATAACAGAGTCCACTTAAACGCATTTCAGATGTACTGTTTCAAGCAGTTTTTTAAGTATTTCATAGTTGAAAAATTATTTTTCAGTAGTAAATGTTGTAACAGCCAAAATAACTTAAAAGTTTTTAAGTTTATGGATATTCGAGAAAATATCTACTTTGCATTCTTGTAAAGCTTCTTTAGCAGCTAATCTAAAGAGCTGTTGTACCAGTAATTTCTTTTTTCATAGCTGATATTATGCATTAAAACTACTAGTACTACAATCTGACAGATCCGAAGACAACGTTTCTTTTAGTATTTCTAATTTGTTTTCATCTGCGGATATGAGGTCAATCTTCGGTATGATTAAAATATTTAATGAACTCAACTGTTTTTTGTCTTTATTTAAGATGTAAAATTACAGCATTCAAAAACTGTTTAAAAGTTGTTCTCCTTAACTAATTCGGATGATTCTACTGGAATATTAAAATGATGAATTTGTTTTGTGCTCGTCGTTGAAGAACATTTATACATTCCTTATCTGTTATTTGTTGTAAAATAGATTCCTATTTTAGGAAAATTGAATTGGTCTGTATTTGACTGTGAATTATTTCAAGTTCTTTTACAATATCGTCGCATAGTTAAAGTGAAACAATGAGGTCCACTGCCTTAGATTGCAAGTTCCTAGATAAGGGTAAAGTAAGAGAAAATGTTTTTTCCATCGAAAACAAAGTAATGATAAAATTGGAAATTCTCAATGAATTTAAAAGAATGTAGGTCCCAACAGGCAAAGCCCTATCATGCCAATTTCCAAATAATTCAAAAGCATGAATCAAAGTATGGAGCAACATCACCGTACGGATTCATATCGCTGTATCCAATCCGTAGGAGATAGTTTTAATGTTTCTTTCTTGGAAGAAGAGAGAAATTCTGGATAGTTTTTCAGTGCTTCTTTCTTGGAGGATGAGCACAGTTCTAGATAGTTTTTTCAATACTTGTATCTTAGAAGAAGGGTACAATTCTAATATACTATCCTCCGAAACACAATAGAAGTATACATGAAATAACATTAACAACTCCGATACAATTACGAATATCTTTAATTTGGCATGCGTCTGAAATAGCAAAATTCAGAACATACAATAGCGTACATACATCAGTATCATACATGTCTTACTGATCAGTACATATCACTACATATCTTACTGATGGGAATATTTCTCTTATTTTGGCTTGTACACCGCTGAATGCTTCAAACATGGCAGCAGCACCATTATATTCGTGACCTTTTATATACCTTAATACTAAACCTAAGGATTTTAAAGCTTTAAAATTGTGTTTGCTCTTAAAGGAAATCTATTTCTGCCACAGAAAATTATTGTTTTTATAATAGGAATAAAATAATTTTTATAATAAGTTTTTTTTTTTTTTTTTCTATTTTCTTTTGCCTTCCGAAGTTTAGGAGTATTAATAATGTCTATTTCTGTTAACTTATGCTCTTGTACAGTTCTCCTTAAATTGTCAGCAGTTAGCAAAGTATGTGCTTAATATATTTTTTCTTGATGCTCACGAAGTTTTCTGTCAATTTGCGCCAGTAACAAATGAGGTGATTGACTGATGGTCCCTGTTTGATTTAAATAATTTAATTGTTTGATTTTGCCAGCATATTCCTCGGCAAAAACTACATAATATTTAGTAAAGTAAATTACCTCTTCAATTTTGGAATAAATTTGGCATGAGTATTCATTCTAACACAGCAATTTAAATCGATATTTCCCCTTCGCTCTTTCATTGCTAAATGAAAAGTTCGGAAACACTGATGCGGCTGATGACATCCAAAATTTTCCATAGATAACAATTTTAACTTTGTCAGTTAGTTTACCATTCTTGTAATTCGATATGTCATGGTTTTCAAATTGTGACGCCGTTTTTATATCGGTTTGGGCAATTTCTGATGAAAAGTGAATTCTTGAGCTTCGTACTTGCATTTCCGTTTTCTATTCAAATATGTAATTTTCTACTTCTTCTCTGTTATTTAATGTACACTATCTGCTTCGAATTGAAGCTTAAATTTTTTTCACCAGTATTAAAATAATTTAAAAATGATTGCTACTTCCTCTTATTCAGTGTTGAGTCGAAAAATTAACAAAAAGATTCAAGCGAATTTAAAGTTAGTAGGTTAAATTTGTACAAAAGAAAATAAACTGATCCAAAATGCAACACCATGAAGGAAAGCATCCAAACAGCATGACACTTGCATCATGTGTATACCGCGATGGGGAATATACAAATCATTACGATTTCAGTGCATACGCAACATCATGGGTGACTGCAAGCGCTTCTTACAGTCCGCATATAAAGGAAGGAAAGATTGTCGTTCTAAATACTCTTAATTGTTCTCTTGTGAGTAAATGCAGAAGGAAACGACTGATGGACAGGAGCAATAGCAACAGTCTTGTCGTACCACTCCAGGGAATTGGCATATTGTGTACATAGCACTGATGGAGCGCACTGCCACATCCGCAACCATATCACAACTAATGCAGTCTATCACACAAAAAACGATATGTGCAGGAACAAGTTGACTTCATTTACAGTACATTGGAGTGCTCGTTGCTTTGCTTACCTTTAACATTAAACCACTGTTCGAAACGGTCCACTGAACGGCAGAGATGGCCATCCTAATGGCATGACATTGTGCTTATCGGTGAAACACACTTCTGCGTGCAGTACCACGATGGTCAAATTAGAATTTGAAGATACCGTGGGAAGAAGCTGCTCGATTGTTGTGTTGTGCCTTGTTATACTGGTACTTCAACCGGTGCTATGACATGAGACAGTATTGAATTCCACTCCAGCGCCCTCTAATGCGTATTAGGGGTACACTTACCAACCAAAGCTATATCTCTGATATTTTTCAGCCTGTTCTCCTTCCTTACCTTCAGAGCTTACTTTCTGCCACATTTCAACAGGATAATGCGCAACGAGACGTTGCACGCAATGTTTAAGCTTTCTTCTTGGCACACCATATTGCAGTGTTACCGTAGCCAGCCTGTTGACCAGATCTATCACCCGTTGAGGATGTCTGGTCAACTACTGGAGAATGCCTAGCCCGGCTTGCCACACCTGCTATCACATCAGATGAACTTTGGTTACATGTGGAGGCAGTATGGGCGCCCATTCTCCAACAACGCATCCAAAGCCTCTTTCACCTATTGCGAGGAGCGTGTAGCAGCGATTGACCCCAATGTGAACTCAGGTAGTAAATCACGCAATAGAAACTGGAAATTACCCCGCATCGCTCTGCCGAGCAAAACCCTACCTCTATACTCTATGACAGGCCAAAGAAGAAATAATAGATCGGTATATTGGAAAAATTCTAAAGAATACAATTATAATACCAAATAAGTAGCCCTTACTCTAGCCCAAGCCAAATAAGTACCCTACATTACTGTGTCGGAAGAAAAATAATCTCCCACGTACGGATTGTAAAGCATGGCGTTTTGCTGTCGACTATAGAAGGCTATATAACATAATGAAATGCCTAGTTTACCCATTGCCAATAATAGAGGAAATAATTAAAAAAATAAAATCCACTAAATGCATGGCTAGCTAGATCATATCTCTGGATACTTTCAGACATGTGTGAAACCACAGATTGTGCTATAAACAGCTTTTAATAACAAATCAGGACGTTATGATTTTCTTAGAATGCCATTTGGATTATGCGGAGCACTCGCCACGTTTCAAAGAACTATGGATATTAATCTAAAAACTGCCCTTGGAAACTCTACCGACTCAGACGATATCGATACTCCACCGAGTTTATTTACTCAGATGATATACTAACGAGACAATTGATGGATATATTTAGGATTTGCACGAAATGTTTTCGCTTTTAAAAAAAGGAGGTTTAAAAGTAAATGCGAAAAATGAAAATTTGATTGTAAATTGCGGCCAAGAAACTTCGTTAGATGCGCTATAAGATATCACAAAGGATAATCGAAACGGAAGATTCTAAAATCATAACGATAAAAAATTATCCACCGCCAAATAGAGGAAAAATATTGGTCTCAAATTTGGGTTTCTGCTCCTATTATAGGACTTTCCAAAAAGAATTTGCTCATACAGCAGATCCACTAGTAAACTTAAAGAGAAAAAAAGCCAGAGGCAAGGTTACCTTGTAGGCAGAAACATAAAGTGGCATTAATTCCGACTCTTGCCTTGAAATTTCCTGATGCGGACTCCAAATTAAAATTCTCCGCAAATGCACCAGATTTTGCGGTAGGAGCAGTGCTTATGCCACATGGATAGTCGGTTGCATATTTTAGCAAGACATTTAAGCCAAATCAAAGAATTGTAACGCTTCCGAGAGGGAAACGTCAGAAGTCCTTTTGGATTCCGGAAAGGGGAGTAGCCTAACAGAGCCCAAGGAATGCCTTTATAAAGGACCTTCTAAGAGAAATTTGCTCGTATTCGCCTTCAGCCGTCTTATCTACTCAGCAGCTTGTGGCTTTGAAGGTTGTTTGCTTGGTTAAATACTGCAAAACGCAAAAGGGCTGCCCACTTAAGGACAGAGTTACTTTCGTAAAGGGCGTTCTGAGCGAACTGGCTTATATTTACGTTATGAGCTAAACGACGAAAAATCCCATGTTAACTAAGCCATTTAATGGGCTTCTAATTTTGATCAATTATTAATGTTCAGGGGTTTTATGCACGTGTAGGTCTGTAGCCTTGAAAAGAGGATTAATTCTTATCATAGAATTTTCATGAATATTTAAATATTACTCACTATAATGCCATAAACAATTTTTGAATTTTATGAGTATTCACCCCAACTTTAGTGCCTTTAGTGAACGTGATTAATTCGAATAGCATTTTAGTCATAATATATATTTGGGTTATCAAACAAGAATTTAACAAGTAATAATAAAAATCATACGCTTTTTATGTTTCTTTTCTCCACTACGTTTCGCATATTAAGACGAGAAACATTTGGTATTTGGTTTGTTTTTGGCAAGATATTCGCATAAAACTTTCTATCATTCTTTTTCTTGATAATCTGAAAGGAGAAATGTATGGTATTTTTATTAACTGTATAAGCATATATATCCTTTTACCCAAGCATCAACCACACCCAAAATATTTTGAGAGAAGGAGGGGGGGGGGAAACTTGTAATAGGTTTCTTCTTCCTTCCAGAATGCCTTCGTAGTGTAACGGTAGCACATTCGGCGCGTATTCGAGAGGTCCAGGTTCGAGTTCTGGCGAGGACATTGCTCATTTTTCATGTCTCCAGCATATATTAAAAAAAAAAAAAAAAAAACCCTAATGAATCTACAACTAAATCTTTTTTCCCCTTTCAATTAACGCTGAAAACACTTATTCAGCTACAAGACATTCTAAAACGTTATTTAGCTTATTATTAGATTTCCTTAATATGTTCTCACATTTTTGTAAACATTCTTTCACTCACAAACATGCTTGACTCTAAAATATTTATAGAGAAAATAGATTTTAATTGATAATTACGTTAAAATAAAGCTTAATAATTACGTTAAAATAAGCTAATTATGAAAAAGAAAGAGAAATAACCTACTATCTCTTTTAAAAATAAAAAAATTTAAGTTCATTAAAATTAAAATCCGAAGCCGAAGCAACACATTAGAAAAACCAGGGCAGGGAATCTCACCTATTTTTTTTTCCAATTCTATTTTAATTGTTTTACAGTAAAACATTTAACATCAGGTATTTGATTCAAAAGAATAAATTTTTATTTAAATATGTCACTCAAAAAGGCAAAATCAAGTGTTTCCCTGGTTATTTCAAAAGCATTATGCACCGCCCGCTCCCCCAAAGAACTCTTACATTATTACAAGCCAGGGTATGATAAAAAAAAATAAACCGGCCAGGAAAAAAAAAAAAAAAAAAAAAAAAATAAAGTCCAAAATCCGAGTCTCACTGCCGAATTCCAATTCTATCTTTTCTCGTATTTATAATATTCATTATTGTTTCTGCAAAATCTTTCAAATTTGAATAGTTCTATTTAAAATCTTCCTTAAAATTCTTTCCATATTTCTCTCTATATTCTATATTTCTTTCTATATTTCTCTATATATTTTTCGCACATATATAACATTTCATTTTTCATAATTATCACACATAATACGTAAATAAGCTACATTTCACAAAGTACGAAACACATTTCTCTTTCAAACAGCTGTATTCTTAAGAAGAGATGCAGTAAGAATACTTAGAACCACTCGGTGCCACTGTTCCTCATTTTCCCACGCATTGATCTAAGTAAATGGAAAGCGGTGATCGTAGTATATTTGAAAGCATAGTTCAAATACAGGGCATTATAATTTTTCTACCTATCTATGAATTCATGAAAATTAGAGGAAAAAGTGAAATAACGCGTTCGCTTGCTTACGGTATATTCGCTTGCCATTCTAATCTTTTGTTTTTGAGTTGTATTATTTCTGAAGTTGTATTATTTATGAATTTGAAGATTCAGAGCACAAAATCAGTCTGATTTATCAACTTGTGCCTAAATATAGAATATAGCTGTCAAAACGGAAGGTTTTAGTATACGTTAATGTACTGCAGACAAAATAAAATTTAAAATACTTCATTATTTTTCATGCCCAGTTCGTGAAACTAGTTAAGGTTCTTAATCCTGACTCATCACATTTGGAACATTTTCAGTATTCATTTCTTGTTCATGTTTTGCATACTCGGATACTAATTTTGTTGGAAATCTGATATTTTCTTATTCCATTTTATATTTCATTATACTACTGTTTGGCTTGAGAGCAAATGTTTTCCTGGATATTGCATACCTCTCCTTTAAGTCTGCGGCTGATCTAATAAATTGTATTACCAATTAGTGTGAATAAAATAGTTACACAGGAATTATCTTGAACGTTCACTTTATATGAAGCGAAGAGATGCAGCCCATGTGCAAAAATAGAGCAAGTGTACCTTAGAAAGCCCTCCACGAATGCATTTCTTTCCTTGACCGTTTACATGCTTTTCAATATTTATCACTTAAGTTAATTGTGTTCCTATTTTCTCCCTATCTTTTGAAGTATTTCTGTTTGAATACTTGTATTTGAGTTTTTATAATTGATTTTAAAGTACATGCGTATTTTGATCAATGTGTGGGGAAATGAGGAACAGTGGCACCGAGTGGTTCTAAATATTCATATTGCATCTCTTCTTAAGAATACAGCTGGTTTAAAGAGAAATGTGTTTGGTAATTTTTGAAATGTAGTTTATTTACGTATTATGTGTGATAGTTATGAAAAATGAAATGTTATATATGTGTGAAGAATATATAGAGAAATATGGAAAGAAATATAGACTATAGAAAGAAATGTACAAAGAATTTTAAGGAAGATTTTAAAAGGAACTATTCAAATTTGAAAGACGTTGTAGAAACAATAATGAATATTATAAATACGAATAAAGATAGAATCTGAATTCGGCAGTGAAACTCAGATTTTGGACTTTTTCCCCCCCTGGCCAGTCCCCCCCCCCTTTTTTTTTTTTTTTTTTTTTTTTTTTTTTTTTTTTTTTATCATACGGCCGGCTTGCGCCGGCTAAGAGGATCTGGACTGCGCTCTTATAATAATAATAATAATGTGCGAAGAATTGTATGGCTCCAATGTTCAATTAAAATTTTTTTTATTTTTGAAAGTGCGGTCTTTCTTAGGCTGAGTCACTTTAAAATAAATATTTTGAAATAAACATGTGTAATGTTTGACAATAAATAAACATGTGTAATGTTTGAAATAAACAGGCTAGAAATGCCCATATATTGGTTTGCGTGTACCTTATACCATGAAAATGTATTACTCCTTATAAGATTTGTTCAAAGTCAGTAGATCTTGCAATAAAGAAACTTTGTATTCACTTTTGAAAAAAGGAATCAGAAGCGCGGTATGAATATGTTTAAAAGCAGGATAAAAGTAACATAACATAAGGCAAAATGTATAAATAGAAAGTATAAAATTTACATTTCTTTGACGCCGTTTGATGAATCCTTTGCATCAAAGTAAGATGTGTAAAAGAGAATTTGTATTGTTTTGCATAGTATTTCATAACGTTCGTACAGTCATTAGTAATTACGGCAATACATTACAAGAGAAAGTTCTGAGTATCTCCAATTTAGTTGTAAAAAAGTAAGAAATATAGTATTGCAATTAAACTGTATAGAATGAACCCTGTACGTATTGGTTTAATGTTACAGAAAATATTATCCATGAAAACCTGCAGAGTGAAGTTATATGCACGTAAATTCCAGCTTAAATTTCGTAAACAGAGAAATATATGTAATTTTATTTTTGGTGAAATGGAGATGTAACATCATGTTGTATTTAAAACAAGGGGAAAAGTTAAACGTAAAATAAAAATATAACAAAAATTTTTTTAAGAAATAGAAAGAATTTACATTTATAAAACTGAAAAAACGATAAAAGTGAAAAGAAAAAATTAAAATTTACTTTTGGAAGTAAAATAGGAAGGAAAAAAATTTACTTTTGGAAGTAAAATAGGAAGGAAAAAAAAATAAGAAACAAAAACTGTGTTGTGAAAACAAAAAAACAGAAAATATTAAACTTCTGAATGTAATAAATATTACTTCTGTAAAATAAATAAAGTGAAAAATGTAGTAACTGTTCTTTTTTTTAAATAAAAGGCGAAAAGAAAAGATTAAACTTGTAAAAATAAATATTACTTTTGTAAAACCAAAGAATAAAGTTAAAAGTAAAAAAAAAAAAAAAAAAATTAAGTAAAAATGTGAATAGGAATAAATTTGAAAGAAAACTTTCGTAAAATAAATTAAGTGAAAAGAAATGTAAAAATAAATTTTCTTCTGTGGAAATAAAATTGTGGAAACATTAATTTGCGAAAATTAAAAGCAAAATTGCAAATTGCAATAATTATAGGAAAAAAATTAATAAATGAAATTTGGTAAAAACGCGAAGAAGAAAGAAAACAATTAAAAATATCGTAATAAAAGAAAAATTTAAAGTGTGAAACGATTTAGGGAAGCAGGGGCTTGAAAAAAGATGTCCTTTGCATGATTCCCCCCAGCCTAGTGACGTCATGGTTGTTCTTCTATTTCATTGCAATAATCTGATTTCGTTTGAAAGGTCTTGCTGGCGTAATGATTTGGGCATTTGCCTCCCGTGCGAAAGGTTGCGGGTTCGAATCTAAGTTGTGCGGCTACTTTTAAAAATTGTGCAATTACATAAATGTTATTCATTTAAAAACTATTAAGTTGAATTAAATATAGAAATTATTTAAAAATAATTATAGATTAAATAATAAAAAATAAAGGCGCATTAATTAATTAAAATAACAAAGGAAAATAATTGCATATTAAACATTGTTATTGCATTAATATCAATATTAAATAATTGAAAATAATAAATTAAAAACGATGTGATCCCAAATACGTGGTTCAAGATACCGCTACCACAAAAATAAAAAAAATGGTGTTGCCACAAAAAAACTGAAAAAATACGGTCGTTGCCACAAAAAATAAAAACTTAGCAAGCATAGGATCGTTGCTACACAGTAAAAACGAAACTATATATGTCGTCATTCCGCGTCACTTCAGGTTGTCAGGTGATCCCAGATGGCGCAAACTATGCCCCTTTTCTGTGACGTCACTTCCGCCGGCTGATGACGTCCGCTTACTTGTCACAGTGCCAAAAAATAAAAAATCTGAAAGATTTCAGATTTAATGGTTACCCAAAAGGAAGGTTTTTTAAGCTCTTGTTGAGCACACAGTCCACCAATCTGCTCTTGCACTCACTCCTTCTAACCACACTTTTATTTGTCTTTTTAGTTTTATTATGAAAAGCGTCGTTTATTAAAAATTTTAAAAGGAACATAGCAGCATATCTTTAAGATATCACGTTCTTTGTACTTATGCCCCATAAAATTAAGTTGTATTCAGCAAAATCTGAAAATATTTAAATACAACATATTTTTAGAATTTCAAATAGACAATCTCTTGAGCTTGAGCTAAAAATGTTTTATTTCATACAGTGTTACTACTGCTTGAATTAAAGTCGTTGAGATTGTTAATCAAAAATTCATTAAGATTTTACAAAGCAATGAGATAAATAATAAAAAATATATAATATTCTATGAAAATACTGAAAATTTTTAATTGGATAAATTATGAACTTAATATGTTTTTATTATTTAAATCAATCCTATTCAAAAGCAGGAAACGAATATTCTTAACTCATCTATTGCTTTCAAACAGCTTAGTTTGTCAATCCACAACAGGCAGATTCAGTTTGAAAGATGCTTATAATTATCAGCTGGTCATATTACAAATTAACTTTGTAAGTTATACCAATTTAAAATGCTATTAAAAGTAAAATAAAATTTAAGTATTCTTTAAATTCGAAATTGCGCTCGTTACTTTTAAATCGTCCAGTTTGTTAAAACGATGCAATTTAAGAAATAAACTAATACTTTAAGCATGTCGACTCGCAGCATTCTGAAACATGAGCGTTTACTAGGAAAATAAGTTAAAGAGATCTCATGGCCCGTGTAATGGCAGCATTTATTAGGTTATCTTTTGTTAAAGAATATAACAGTGTAACATATTGAAACTACCCCAAATTAATTACTGAAGGAGTCATATAATAAGAATCAGCGTTATATTTGTAAACTTTCTAGGACTAGTTTCGGTAGTTGAACCATCGAAACTAGTCCTGGAAAGTTTACAAATATAACGCTGATTCTTGTTGTTTAACTTCTCCAATAATGATTATTCGGAGTGTTGTTTTAACCTAAATTACCCCAAATTGCTTGGAAAAAGGTCCGTTAAGAATGTTTCTGATGTCAAAAGTGTTAAACTAAAAATTCTAAAACCTAGCATTTGTTGAATAAATTACATTACAGTTTTGAAGCAAAATAACTGACCTTTTTATCTTGTACTTTCCTTTTGATTTCGTTTTTTCTATCTGATGACTGGGAACTTTGTAATTCATCTTGTATTGATTCTTTTTCTTCATAGACAGTCACCTATTAATCATTCTTTTATTAAAACTTTACTCGTAATTTAGCAGATTCAAGAATTTTTTTTTTTTTTTTTTTTTTTTTTTTTTTTTTTTACAATTCTTTTTCATAAGTGTTATAATCTCTTTCACCAAATTTTAGCAAATACCATTTGCTTGAGAAATATTGGTTGGTTTGACTTGATTTATTTGATTGTGGCAAAGAAATCGAAGGCTTTCTGCCTAAGGAAAGCTGAGCCTTTGTGCATGTTTTTCTAAGTGAAATTGGTTCGTATCCCCGTTACACATGAGGAGAACCACGAAATCTATATGCAGACAGCTCGTTCGCCTGGAATTGAATCAAAGTCGAACTACCAACATTTTGCGACTTTACTTCTCGGGAGCTTTATAGTCTACCGCTCGGCTACTGATGGTCTTGCGAAAAGTAAAAATTTACAATAATGAGAGTAATTTTTATGAATAAAGTTCCTCACTGAAAAAATTAACGAAAGCTATTTGTTTAAAGCAAAGATACTTTAAATACACAACACATACAATGGCGAGAAAATGCTTTGTTACCAAGTATGAGTATGTTGACAAGTAAGTCACCAAATGTTTTCAGTACCTTCGTGCACAGTCAAAATGATTTAAGCCAACGCTGTTAATTGTAAACAAAAGAACATACTGGCATTCATGAAGGGGAAAAAAGGATTGTAATTCGTCACATTACACTCGTTTGCAAAATTAAGAGAATTTGTACTTTATGTGGACTTTCTGAGAAAGTAATCAACAGATTTTGGTGAAATTTGGCATCAATACGCACTTATAACAAAGAAAGAGATGAGCCATTCAAAAATCATTTTATGTACGCATGATTATCAGTAAAGCTCATAATGCAGGAATATCCAAATTCCACGTTATGATTTTGAAATGAGTCGAATATGGAGTATGATCCACTCTCATAGCCAGACAGGTCGCGCAGTGTGATGGCATATTGGACAGGAAGCAGTTAAGAAGTTCCTGCGGCAGCCTATCCTATTCCTGCAGCAAGGTAGTTTTTAATTCCAGGATGGCTCTCGGATGGGAATGACGAGAAAAAATTGCCCTCTTAGGAGTGTCCTAGATATGCTCTATAGGGCCAAGTCAAGATATTTAGCGTCCATTAACAGGAACTCGGAAAAACTGATTTGAAAAATCGAGCATACGGTTCTCTGTATACTTCATAACAGTCACAGAGCCTTTGTCAAACAAATTCAGGGGTGTGCGGCAGTCCAAAGTAAAGACTGCCCAAATCATTAGGCCTCCACCACCGCAATGATCTTTTTTCCCAGGCGAGGGAGGGATCGTATCGTACCACGTTCTCTTTAGATACAGGTACGCCGAAATTCTGTGCCTAGGTTGAATCTCGATTCATCTATGAAAAGCACGGTACTGCACTGACGTCTGAGCCAAGGCGCGTGTTGTCTGCACAATGCTAAAAGTTCTCTATTGTGAGCTGTTATAAGCAAGACGCAAAAGCGGATCTTCTGGGGTACGACTTTATTTCGTGAAGCCTTTGGACGATAGTAAACATGAAACTCCAGTGACAGCATATAGCTCGCATAAGAGATGTGAAGCTGTAATAGTCCTGTGTCGCTGCACTGAAAGGGCCAAATAATGATCCTCGTTTGCTATTGCGGACCTTAGTTGACCTTGTCCAGGTCTTTTCGATTACAAATTTAGCGTCTTGAAACTGTTTCAAACTTGAAACAGCAGTCACAAAATGCTGACAACACTGGGCGTTACATTGAGCTCTGTAGTCACCTGCACTTATGATTGGTCTACCTCCAATCTACTGACAATTTCGTCATTCGTTTGTGGCTATTCACTTTATTTCATATCTTATAAAATGTATCCAATTCTTGCAAGAAACAAGACAAATATCGTGAAGGCGTACGGGCACGCAAATAGCCGAAAACCTCTCGTGTGCTTATATCCCTTCAGCACTTACAGCTCCACAGATACATACGTGTAGACATAAGTATTTGAATTTCAATATTTTCATCATTTTCCGGCAGCATAATTAGGACTGTAACGTATTTTGCAGTTTTTATCGAAATAACGGATGAGCTTCTTAGTAAAACATAAATTTGATTCCATCTCTGACGTTGCTCAGCAACAGTTACGCGACATAAATATGGCGTTACCACTCTAATGTCAAGGACAATAAATATAATTATTTATTAAATAAAAATATTACAATACCTTTGGTTCCATAAATTTCCTAAAAATAGACATAATTTGCAAAGTCTGTTAATTTTGCACACTAATGTATTATTACGTGCGTACCGGCTCGTAGTAGTTTGAATGCACAAGTTGCAAATAGGAATGCATTCAGGTTAAATAAATTTATTTTTATCAAAAGAAATATTTCAGAACTCTGAAATTTTCCACAGAAATATTCGTACAAGTGTTCACAGTACCACACAGTATAATCAGTAGTTACATTTCAAACTACTAAGAACGTTAAATACAATGCAATGCAAAGCGCATCTAAAGAGAAAGCTAATCCAATCTCACGCTAAACTCGCAACAATAACAATAGTAGCTAACTAAATAACTGAGCGAAGATCTTCGGACTTAAATAGTTTTCAACCGGCCGCGAGATATTTCTAGTACTTTCTGCTTCTTGAAATTACTGTAAAGCAATACGAGGATGGAATTACGGCTACAGCTAATATAGTAGTTAATTACATTTGTTCAGTTTCAATACAAATTATTGATATACCCATTTATTCAATGTTAAATGCCCGTGCCCCTGCATTCTTAGTTTTGCGGCATAGCATTCTATTAAAATTTGTCTCGCACTACATTACGCAGAAAAATACAACCAGTTTAATTATAATTCTACTAAAGTTACTTATCTAAGTACAAAATCTGTAACAGAATTTTAATGCATATAAGATATGACATACATCAAGATCAAATGTTAAAAGCATAAAAGGAATTGTTTCCAAAGTGACAGTAGACGATATTGCAGCTCAGTTAAAAATACGAAATTTTGAAGTGTCATTTATTGATTCAATCAAATGTGCAAATATTTATAAAAGGTACAGATGAAAACAATAATAGATAGTTATTTTATTAGAAATCAAAATAAGTACAGTATACTTTCGATTATCCGGGTCCGGATTCTCTGTGTAGCGGGTAATTACGCATGAGCATTCAATACACTGAATTATCATTCACAGCTCCTTTTAAGAAAATACGCGACATAAGGAGAGGTTATCATAAGTTCTCTTTAATATCAGGTATTACAGAAATTTCAAAGAAATATCGCGAGAGAACGCACAGAAGAATGCGAAAATTTCGTACGTTCTCCCCTCAACTAAAAGGTGTCTAGAGAGTGGTACGAGACCCAGTTTACTTATTGCAGGCACTGCAGTCAACTTCCAATTAGCCAGGGCAATACTGGGAACATTGATCATGACTAACTTAAAACTGTAATTAATCCGAGATTAATTACAAAAACGCAGAAAAAAGTAATTGACTCATTTTAAAATTAACAGAAAAATTAAATTAAATTAATAATTTTAAAATTAACAGAAAACAATTATTGAACAAATATCACCAGAAATTAAGGAGCTAAGTTTAAAAGGCATTAAAAACTATTTACAGGATAGTTAGCACAATGTCACTGAATTTAAACTCCATTGGAAAGGTTAGTTAGATATTTTAGTTTTAATTGTACAATGGTTATCTATTTCGGAATACTTACAATTAAATTACGTATTGTTTCGGATGAAAATATCTCTTAAATAGTTAGTATCATTTTTTAATTCTTTTTATTTTCTCTTATTAAAAATCAAAATAAAGATAATGTAATTTCGACTATCCGTATGCGCACTGTCTCTGTGTAGCGGTGCCTAAGCACGCGCACTGAAAGCTATGCACGACAGTGTGTAAAAACAAACATGCGCAAGTTCGACCAGGGAGAAAAAAGGGAGAAAAATTCTTCCTAATACAGGATTCGGAGTAGAGGCAATAACTGGTTTTATTCTACCCACGAGTATTCTCCAAAAACAGTTTCGTTTAACGCTGATGGCTTGTAATAGCGTTTCGCAATCAATAGCTTAACTGTTACAGTTGCCAATATTGGCAAATTTAATCGTACGACTTACAGGTTTTTAGTATCCCCAAAGGTTTATGTTGCAAACACTTTAACAAGAAAGTACTTTTTTTATGTCAGAGTTTGGTTAAGTCTGAATCTGGTATATATTCCCCACGATAAATCGGGAGTTGACTGTAGCAAATATGCCCTTGCCGGTATGCACACAGCAAATCTTGGCTCTGAAAACTGACAAAGGCGAGCCTAGAATCTACAGAGGTGATGATAGACAACAGTATAAAGAAACTTGAAAGATATAAAGGACATGTTCATTGTCTTTCAGCAAAATCTTACTCTCTCTAATTCTCTGTCAAATCTTTCACGACTCAGCTTAAGTCATGATCATGACAGTCACAATTTTTCCAGCGTGAGCAGTTTTCCTAGCTTTGGAAAGTGAAATGGTACCTACATATGCTATTTCTATTTATTATGGACTGTAAATCATGCATCATTTTAATACCATTTTTATAATTAAATGTTACTTTATATGATTTAATATATCCCCCTTGCGTTTATGTGCAGAATTCGGAACGTTTAAAACTCTTTCCCTATAAATTAAGGGCAACTGCTTCTCCTCTTCACATGGCTCATCAGCAGTCGAGTATATAAGATCACAGACCACTGCAGTTCGAAGCGAGTTTAAATCCAGAGGAACGGATTGGCGCATGAAAATTTTTATGTTAAAGTAGGACTACTTTGCTTTATGATGGTTCCAGGGGAAAAAAATTAAGACACAAAACATGTGTCTTAGTAGAACACTTATATCTTAATAACCCCAAAACTGCAGTTTTCATTTATATTTTGTTTGATAGTTAAAGGAGACCATTACAAAACACAAAAGAATTTTGAAAATTGGCATTGTGGTTGAAACACAGTACTCTCAAAGTTAGACAAAAATATACAAAATTTTGATGACGTCATAGATGTAACCGCAAAACTTGGGACATAACACGTCCACTTCTATATTGAGATCGACGGTGAGCGGTTGTGAAAGCGAATTTTGTTTCAAAAATAAATAAATAAATAAATAAATAAATATGAAAAATATAAAAAAAAAAAGATGCACTAAAAATACAGCACAAGAGACAAGCAGAAAATTAAACAAAGGTTTATTGAAGAACGTTTCGTTGTAAAAAGGAAAGAGCGCAATAATAATATGAAATATAGTATGAAATAATAGTATGAAAATAAGAAGAAGGAAATAAAATTGTTAGTTTCCAGATAAATCAAAGTGTTTCAACTTCTTCTACTGTTGCCAATAAAAAATATGGCACCGCCTTTTATGCCTCAAAATATTAGTCTTCAGCCATACCACTGACTTAACCATTCTGCAAATTATTGTAATTTAATAATCAATACGGACGTATCAGCAATCTGTAGTCAAGAATGTCTGAGAGCATTTACGGACGGCTCTAAAATTCATGTAGAAGTGGGCGCAGCGCCAATAATCTATTCATTTTCCTCTATTTCAATAATACGGCAAGGAAAATTAACTCCAGAAAATTCTGTTTATCAAGCTGAGCTGTCAGCAATTCAGTCTGCAGTAAATAAAGCCATATAAAATAATTTCAGGACAATGGCAATCTATTCAGATAGTCAATCTGCATTATATGCCCTGAAGGACAGAAATAATAAGAACCAACTGATTCAGGATATTCAAAACACAATAAGCACACACCCAGAAATCCAGTTTTTCCTCAGTTGGGTGAAAGCTTACAACGGAAAACGGCAACGAGGCGGCTGACCTCCTTGCAAAGGATGCAACGACTAACATCAACAGAAGTCCCGTGGCCCAAGTCCCATATAAAATTCACACTGAATACAATTGTCGAATTGTCGACTCAAAGTGGCAAGAAGAATGGGACTCTGCATTGCAAGGCAGAAGAGTCCACGATTGTTTCCCAACAAGGCACTGCACTATGACCATGTTCTGTATCAGTATATCACAGAGCACGGTCCTTTCCCCACCTATTTCCATGACAGAAGCATGTTCTCGATGGATCTCTGCATATATGGCGAAAGGGATGACTTGATCATTACATTTTTTACTGTAATCTAACAGACGGTAAACATCTGATTAAGCCTAACAACAACCTAACACCATTTAAGAAATACACAATAAAGAACAGACACCTTAGGGCAAAATCAGAGACATTCTTATATCCAAAGACTCGGACTTGATATTTGTCATATCTAATGCTTATGCATCTCCATATATTACTAAAATATATTTATTTAATTTGTTTAATTTAATGTCTCAACAATTTCATTTTTATATACGCAATGCCGAAGGACTGGAGTTCCAAAGACTTGCTTATGACACCTTCCACCTTAGAAAGGACACTTGTACATACATTTAAACTTTTAGAAGTATCAGTTGTTCAACTTTTCAAGAATAGTCTTTTCTCAGTATGATTTGTCCATACTAATAAAATCAAAGATCTCAGAAAGTCCTCTCAAAGGGTTGAAGGTAAAGGAAGAGGGATGGGAGATCCTCGGACCCCCCCCCGGGATGTTCTTCCTCAAAATTGGGATGGAATGTTTAACAGTTAGCTAGATTCAACAATACCTAAACCTGTGGTACTACGAAGGTGCTGGCCTAGCTTTTACCTGTACCTGCCAGTAATAAATTCTAAAATTTGGGTGTACTTTTACCAAATTATAGTAGAGAGTTTCTTCAACGGGGTCTGTTGTCAAACAAAAAAGATTGATCAGTTGCGTACACAATATTTTGTCAGAAACTTCGAAGATAATGAATTCGGGCATGTTTGCTGTGTTTGTGACAGCTTGAGGTTTATGAAAAGCGTAACACCAGTCGGCAACAAATTAAAAACCTAGAAATCCTACACATCTAAACCCATCGCCCGTTTGGAACAAATATAACAGACAGACTCCCGCGAATCTCCCCCCTCGAATGTAACGTGAATACCAGAAAGTTTCTTCTTTAAACGTCCTCCACGAAAGTATCTAGACAGGTAGCCCTAATAAGCTTTATAGTGTAAATAATCTTCTTTTTATGTCGTTTCGGCGTAAGTAAGGTTTCAGAGAAATGTATTTTCTTTAAACTTGCACTTATTTTTGGTGTATTCTATGCATTTTAATCATCTTTATATATAAACATATTTTGAATATATTTAACTTTATTAACTTTTGTATTAAAACATGTGTATTTTGTATTAAAGCATGCAGAAATTGAATTCAGTACTCGAAATATATAAATTTATCTCATTCTTCGAAATGCCCCTCTAAATTGTTGTTATGCTTGTGTGTTTTAAAACCTTAATTTGTTAATAACTTTAAAGTTCTCATTCATGCCAAATGTCCTCATTACCGATTAAAAAGCGGTATCGTACAATTATTGGTTTTACGGAAATATTCAATAACCTTTTTCTTTCTGAATAGCAACAATGTACTTTGAATATTCACGGTCTCGTAACAAAGACTTTCTCTCCTCTCTGAAGTGGTTCAAATGAAAATTAAAAATTTTTCTCAAAAAATTAACTTGATATCGAATTTATTAATTGATCATTACAGTATTTTTCACTTTGCTTCAAAAGCTATGAGTAATTTTCCATTTTCAATATAAAGGATTTTACTTACAACAGACTGCGAAATAATCGGTGAAACTGAAGAACAACAATTTCGACAAAATCCTTGAGTATGTTCATCACTTTCTTCTTTTATATTGTCAGAAACAGACGACTGGCAGAAGTCTTTCTTTATTGGCATTTAATTTTCCCCTGCCATGTTGACATTAGGGTATTTATAGTAGCTTTAAAACTCTGAAAGTGGTAGCAGTAGATGAGTTAGTCATAAAGGCGTAGGTATTAAGCGAACATAAAATTAGCTTGTTTCTTTCTAAAAAAGGAATCATTTTCCCTCATGATTATATATGAGAAGTAGAAAAAAATAAACTATCAGACTATAATATTTATTAACAGTTAATAGTGAAAGAAAAGCATGGCAACATAAATATAAAATTAGGTAAATTTAAATCTTAGAGGGGTTGGTTTTGCAGAAAAGCTGTGTGCAGTTCAAGTCTCTTTTCTTCCAAAAAGAATAAGTATTCGACGCCATTTTGAAGAAACGTATCCTTTATTTTGAGGAAATAAAAATAAATAAATAATTAAAGGACACTAGGATTGTACAGCCATCTGTTAAATAAAGAGCAAAGAGAACGTTGAAAAGAATGGTGAGATTAGAGCTCTAACGTTAGGTGTAACAGAACTGGAATTAAAAATCAATCATTTCGGTTCGAAACTCGAAAGTATTAGTTTCAACTCAACAAAATTAAAAGCATTTGATTGGCTGTCAAAGTTTCTAGGTAAATAAAATTTTCTAGAGTCTAAAGTGTTAAAATTGATGATAATGATAATGCAAACAGCTGATAAACACAAGTGATGTAATAAGAAGAACTGATAGAGAAATCATATTTAAAATATTAACTTTTAGAAATCTATCATAATTAATAGGATTTTCCGTTGTTTAAATTTTTAAATTATTGCTCAGCTTAGAGTTAATGATGTAATCGGCATTTCCTTAGAAATATTCGTGGCTAAAGTGCAGAATCGTCCATTTCTTTGTTTGGCGCTTTTCACAAGAGTAAGACGAATTGGATTTTTGTCAATTTTCTTTGACCTTTTTAAGTGAAAATAGGTCGATGTGTACATGGATAAAGTTAAGGGATTGTAAAATTCTAAATTGTCGATGTGTACATGGATAAAGTAAAGATGTGGAATATGTAAAAGTTAAGGGATTGTAAAGTAAATGCGCAATGCCATTTTTGTGCAATTCTGGGATGTTTTTTCAAGTGAAAACAGGTCGATGGGCACATGGATACCGAGTTAGTGCAATTCTTAAAAACGCGCCAAGCAGTGGGCGATTCTGCACTTTCCCCATATTTCGTTACTGTGCTCTGATTAACTAAAATATTTCCACGTAAAAAAAGCCAAACCATTTCTTTATGAAATATGTAGCATGATATTTTTGTAGCATAATTCGTCTTTTATTTGTTAGTTTTATTCTTAGTTATTTAATATGAGATACGAACAAAAAATGGTACTATTCCATTTTGAGGACCATAAAAAAATGACAACGAAAATGTATGCACAAAAGCGCCGAATCTAGCAAACGCGCCCATTTAACAGAGCGCCAAATCTAGCGCACGCTATGATTTCAAATTGCGTAAATTTAGATAGTTTATTTCTTTAGACTCCATTGAAATACTAGTTTAATTTTTAAATCCTTTTTTGATTTTAAATCCTTTTCAGATATCCTATGGATTTAACAATTTGAGAATTGTCTATGACATAAAGTCTGCAATAGAATTTTTTTCAAAGAAAAGGAATCATTCATTATAGAAGATTATGTTTGAACAACCAACAAGATGAAATTATGTTTTTTAGCGATAACTCGGTATCGTAATAGCGATGTACAATGTTTAGCCTTTTTTATATAAATTGTAATAATGATCTGAAGTAGTTATTTGCTCTTATACTTCCATTCAGTTATGTTTAGCCTTTTTTTACATAAATTATAATAATAAAAAAGTATTATATGAAATTAACCTTTCATCTAAATTAAAACCATAATCTTAGATATTTATTTGCCATTCTACTTCTTTTCTTGCGTTAGGGTTACTGGAATTATTTTTGGCAGCACTGGCATCACCAATAGTTTGGCGATTTTTTACGGTCCTCAAAACGGAATAGTACCCAAAAAAATTATTTTGTACATTCTCAAGAAATTTTGGTACATTCTTAAGCAAAATGTATAGCTGATGTAGACCCATATTGAAATTTATTATCAATTTATTAAAATGGGAATTAAAGTGCTTGTAACATTAAAGTTATATAGTTCTTTAAAATTAAATAAAATTCAATCTTCGATTATGAATAGTTTTAGAGAAACGTTGCATGCATTTTGCGAGAATCTGACCCAGTAATCTCATTTCAAAGATTAGCAGAATTTGGCTGTTGTAAGAAAGATTTGTGTCAGATTCTTTCGAAATATAACCTTTCTTTCAAATTTAACGATTATTAAATAATTAAAATAAGGCACTAAGGCACTAAAATAAGGCACTAAGGCACTAAAATAAGGCAATAAGGCACAAATAAACAAAATCTTAAACTGTCGTAGATTTTGAATAGAATTCTGTTGATTTGGAAGAGGATCGAATATAGATCTTTCTTCTTCAGTATAAAAAAGAGAGACCTATGCTAGACATTTCTCGAAATCATTTTTTTTTTTTTTTTTTTTTTTTTTTTTTTTTTTTTTTCAGAATCTTTGGAAATATAAGGTTTCTTTTTTGCTTACCTTTAAATTTCATACTAGCGTATTTCTCTTCCAATTACGTAATGACTAATGTTCAACTGGAAGGAAGAAATTGGCTTTAGTGATTGCTGCTGATATTTGTACATTACGAGTAATGTGTTTATTCTTACAAAATTTGCTTCTTCAATTGAAACTTAACAAAACTAATGTTAATGTTAACGGGTACTGTTCTGTTATCACGACCAGATCCAGAAATGTATGTATGCATGCATGTATGTATGGATCTACGAATTTATGTAGGTATGTATATATGTAAGCAAATGTATATGTATGTATGGTTAAAATTCTATAATCAGGGTGAGCGCCAAGCTTGGCGAGAGTTTTTTTAGTGGGCGCGATTTTGATTTGGTTGTGGTTTCCGGCTGTATGGTTTGTTATGGCAAACCTAGAGCTTTATTTCGGTAACTGTAAGAGCGCGAATTTAGTGTAGTCAAAAGATTTTTTTAAAAATTTAATTTTGAAATGCTGTGTTTGTTTTTAAAAGTTTTACTGTTTAATATTATTGTTATATGTATGTTTAATATTTATTTATATAAAATTTGCAGAAGGTTAGGCTGTTGTTGGTGGGAGAATGTTGGATTTCATATGACGTGTAGTTTATAATTTATGAATGTTTTCATTTAATTTTATTTAGTTATTTTTTTAAAGTTTTGTTTCTTGTATGTGGCAATCGAAAGATGTGGAATATTTAAAGTTTTGAACGAAAGTTGTTTAGTATGTTGAATTCCACGACGATAGTAACTTGAATATTTTAGTTAGTTTATGATGCTGAATACGCATAATTTGCTATTCTGTTTACGTTTAAAACTCACTTCTGATCTGATAAGTGTATATATTTATTAACTCAATAATTATTTACAAGAATTGTTTATTCTACTATTTTATGATGAATTACATATATAGGACTATGTTTTTACTTGCAAAGTTGTTGGACATTGTTTTACTCATCTAATATTTTATCATCTCATTTTACTATTCTGTTTACATAAAATAACGGCGTTTCACTACTGCAAAACTTAAAAGTTACTATTCTGTTTACGTTTAAAATTCCCATTTTGGTGCTTTCATTGCCGCCTAAAAAATTCGCCAAATTTTGAAGGCCAAAATAATTTGGCGCCAACTTACCCCGCTTATGGAATTTTAGCCAAATGTATATACTACATGCACACAATATCCACATACATACATACACACGGGCATGCATTGAAACATTTCTGAATCCGATCCCAATAAGAGAACTACCTTTTAACGTAACTCATCTAAGGTTATTTCGCTAGCTTATCGATAATTTTTCGTAATTTTCAAGCTGATGTAAATATGTGATAACATTTTCAGGCTGTTTCTTGTTATCAGACCAGATTCAGAGGCGCACATATTTATGCGTATATGTGTCTGTACACATACATACATACATACATGTAAGATAAAAATTATATGAATCAAAATTATAATATAACTATAAACATAAATTCTTCCTCTCTATTCTAAAATCGTAATAACTTCTCTGCATTGCGTCATTTCTAGATCACTCTATGATCGGCGCAGCTCTGATGACGTAATCATTGGGAACTGAAACTGTCCTTGTAAACCAAAACTTTTCTCTTCGCGTGCCTCCATCTTGCATAACTACGCACTTCAGCTTTGCTCTTTACTCTGCTAAGATGTAATTTCGCTGGCTTGCTTTCTATCTTAACAATATATAAAAATGTAAATCTTGTGTGGAAAGGCACGACTAGTGCCAAGTGATTGTGGCCACAAATATCAATTGGAAATAAAAATGGAATTAAAACTGCCTCAACTGCCAAGTTCTTTAAATACTACGCAATCAAAATTCTTCTTCAATATGGATCTAAGCAAGCATCGACACTGCTCCGTCTCATTTTTCTTTGTGCTCTTATTATGACAATAAAGCCGGTAAGGATAGTTTCCTGCAGCCTGAAACCTCAATGGAAAATTTAATTCAGCTCTTCAAATCATCGTTTTGTGATAAATCCAAGATAATGTGAAAGAAGTGAATCATCAAGTTTGTTTTTTCAGTGTGTAAAAAGATAACAGATCATTCTTCTGCTGTGGTGTTTTGCAAGTGCTTCAAAAAAATAATCACGCGTAGTGTTTACAGATTGAAAGTAATCTCTCGATAAATTGAGAAGTTCGAATGCCTAGTGAAAAGGAAATCATCAGTGAATTACCGTTTAGGAATTCAGCATTACAGCATTTTCAAGGTCGATCTGAGTTATGTGTTTGCAAGTATGTGCGACAGAAAATTATTTGCACTTCTGCTTTTTCAACAGCTCAAAGTGTATTACATTCGTGTGAATTTAGCTCAGGAACTAAATTATTTAATATGCTGAGGATTCTATAGTTTTCCTCTCAACTTTGGTTAAAATTTTCTGCAATTTGTTTTGAGAAAATCTGAAATTCTTGTTCATAAATTTTTCTAATTTTTCATAATTATGCGTGAGCAAATTTAATTTTTCATAATTATGCGTGAGCAAATTAAGTAACGAATTTTCAGCTATTTAAATTATTCATAGGAAGGATATTAAGATAAGTTTTTGAAATTTTGTTGAGAATTTTGAATACGAATTTTATAATTATTCTAAAAATGAAGTAGGTGTAAAAAATAAGTGAAATTAGTACAGATAAGTAATATGAAATTATGGTAAATGCATGTTAAAATTTATGGTTTATTGTATGTTAAGTATAGTATGATGAGGGTGTACTGGTGCCTTCAACAGAGGCTTGTAATTACCTCTGTACAGTTGTTCCTTTTACCCTCTTCATGCAAGATAATGTTGGAGGCTCTCATTTTATGAATGCATGTAAAATTTTATATTATTATATTATTATTATTATTATATTTTTTATTATGGAATGTATTAGTGCAGTTCTCAAAGGCCAGTTACCTTAATGCAAGGAACGGAGGCCTTTTCAAGTAACTGCCTAGGCACCCTGGGCCACCAGTGCAGAGAACACGCTGGTTAGCTCAAGAGGAGAGCCCTATTGATGGATATGTTTGTTTAGAAGTATTGCGAGGCTTCCAGTTTGGTAAAATCAGGAATTGTAAATGAAAGATGATAACGGTGAAACCATAATTTCAGAAGCTTACTCCTATTATTATATGGTATTAAAATATAATGTATCAGTATAGAAATAAGTATCATAAATATTTATGTGCATTACATTTAATTATAAGTAATGATGTGTAAAAGTTTATTTTGTGAATTCTGTAATAACAAGAACCTTCCCTGAAGAATTATGATTATGTGAATTCTCAAACAAAAAGACTTTTGGACTGAAATGCTGAAAAATTCAATAGGACTCTAAAAATTAAAATTTATTAAAAAAAATTGATTATTATAAATTATACTTTACAGGACAAAAAATTTATGATTTATGTTTTTTTTTTTTACATTTGCTAGTGCTTTAACTCTTTCTCTTTCAAAAGGCTTCTCTGTCGCTACACCTTTTTCTTTTTGAAGGGGGGGAATATGTAAGATAAAATTATATGAATTTCAAACTAACGGTAAAACATTAATTCTTCCTCTCTATTCTAAAATCGCAATAACTTCTCTGGGTTGCGTTCATTTCTAGCTCATTGTATGGCCTGCGCTGTGCAACTCTGATGACGTAATAATTGGGAACTGAAACTGGCCTAATTGTAAACCAAAACTTTTTTGCATGTACTTCCATCTTTCATAACTACGCACTTCAGCTTTTGCCCTCTACTCTGCTAAGATGTAATTTCGCTGGCTTGCTTTCTATCTTAACAATATATAAAAATGTAAATCTTGTGTGGAAATGCACGACTAGTGCCAAGAGATTGTGGCCACAAATATCAATTGGAAATAAAAATGGAATTAAAACTGCCTCGACTGCCAATTTCTTTAGATGTTACCAAGTTAGCATTACTAGCATACTACGCAATCAAAAATCTTCTTCAATATGGGTCTAATCCCGCATCTACAGTGTTCCGTCATTTCCTTTGCTTTTATTATTACATACATACATACATTTCTGAATCCGATCCCGATAATAGAAAAGTACCCATTTTCTTATAAATAGTTTGCCTACTTTCGCTTTCAGTGTAATTACTATCCTAAAGTTATGCAGATAAAAAAATTACAAAACATTTCATTTGATAAAAGAGGATCTATTTTTAAGCAATTTCTAACAGCATTAATGATTGCATCCGTCTACTATTAGCAGCTTAGATAACAGAAGCAACCAGCAAGTTCATAGATTTATTTAAATAATCAAAATGATAATTTAGATACTTGATTCGGAAGTCAGAGATGATTAAAAGTAATTTTAATATAAACTTACTACGTATTAGTAAATATTCTAAAAAGCTCAGTTCATGTCCAAATTTTCTCCTTTGGTTCCAATAAAAAATCACCATCAAATATTCCTTTTCTGTATGATTTAAACTCTGATTGAATATTTTAAGTGACTATATCATTATTATATTAAAAAATCGCACATTTTTAATATTCAGTTCACGAGGAATAAGTTATGATCTGAAAATATATAAGAAGGAAGTTGAAGTGTTTAGAGAATTTGATAAATGAAATAAATATAAATGTTCTCACAATAAACTGATATCACGTACGTAGTTTTTTATAGCAGTGATGAATTTCATAGTATCACTATATTTTGTAACTTTACCATCGTAATACGCGAATAACGTGCAAAAAATTTTAAATAAGCGTATTCATTGAAGTATTTTATGGAAATTTTTTAGTATATTTACGTTTTTATTTTTCATAATAGAACCAACAATCATTATAATATACGAATAAATTTTCAAAATTTATTAAAATAAAAATAGTATAATAAATAATGAGGATAATAAAAGAACAAAACAAAAATCTGGAAGCTTTCAGATTTTACATTACACTCAAAGGGGCGTTTTTTTAACGTTTTGTGTGCTACCTTTATTTATTAAATATCATGTTCTTCGCACTTAAACCATACAATTCGATTCAACAGAAATATTGCATGAGCATATCTTTAGAATTTCTGATGCACAGTCTCGCGCGCTAAGGATAAAAATGTTTCTTTTTTTTTTCCCCCGTACAGTATTGCCATTGTTCGCTTTGAAATCGTTGAGTCTGTTAATCAAAAATTCGTTAAAGTTTTACAGTTTATAAAACAGGTAATAAAATAAATTCAAAATTCAGTCTTCCAGGTGCTCATATTCGGGCGGAGGATTACGCAATTCAATTTTTTTTTCACAATGCGAAAAACATACATAGATTCATGCAGAGTCTTCATTTTTTAATTTCTTTAAATATAATACGAGAAGATAATATTTGGTAGTAACATTTTTGAAAAGTGATTCAGACTTTTCAATACAAAATGCCGCGTCGGGACTAATAGCCCTTCTGGGCTACGGGTCCTTTGGGCTAATAAATGCGAAAATAAAAAAGTGCAGTTTCGATTTTTGTATGTAGATTCTGATTTAATATATGAATGAAACAGACATTTTTATTAACTATCCCGTTAAGCAAGAGATTTTTAAGAGTCGGAGTTACATGCTCAATTTTTTTTTCTTTTTTGCTTGACTGTCTATCTTCAACGTATGTTTCAGAAATGGGAACCTGTCGATAGATTCGATTGCTCCCAATGCGGGATCAAGATCCTCCTTTGATTTATTGTGTAAACGCATTAGCATATGAGAATGAAATGAATATAACTTCTTTTCCCAATTATTTTAAGCTATTTTACTTAACAGTAAACGAAAACCATTCATGCATTAAAATTGTCATTAATTTCATTTCAAAAATTAAAAGTTTTCATTTTATTTATGCAACTTATGTTCGTATGTACGCATTGGTTAGTACTTTGATTTGAATAACATAATGTGTTAGCAAAACGACATTTTTGTTACTACAATAGATAGCATAATTTAAAAACATTAAAAAAAAGGGTTCAATTTGAAAACTTCAATTTACAATCTCGAAGAGCTTGCTAGTAAAGAAAAAAAAAGCAATCTGTTCTTGGTATGCAAATTTCAGTTCTGAAGCTGGAACATTTTTACACTAAGCAGTTATGATAGGCCTACTAATTAAAGAATTAATCCTCAGAAATTAAATTTTATTAAATTAAATGTAAATTTTAAAATCACTTCTTTAAAGTGCATTGTTCAAAACAGCATTTGGCAAGAAAACATTACTCTAGTATTATTTCATATAAATTACATCACACGGAGAATTGTACACTTATTAAATAAAGAAAAAACTTAATTGTTCATGACATAGTTCTGGATCAATTTCACTGGAATACTTACTTGTTCGGGAGATATCCATACATTCTGTTTTACCAGAACCCGAAATTTGAGAACTTTAAGCAATAAACATCTAGAAGTTAACTTCGAGGAACTTAAAGAAACAGAACAAGAAAAGGGATTTATGACATCTAAACTTCATAAAATATTTTGCGTCATATTCCCCCCCCCCAATCTAATGGTGGGCACTTGCTTATTCAGTAATGGCCACTCCTGAGGCCAGAAGTGGTGGCCATTTTATTGTGGAGGCTCCAAACTGGCGGCCACCATTGCCTCCCAGGAAGGGATGGACAGTTATGACCATGCCTTCTCCGGGATTCGAACTTAGGCCCTTCGGTACAGTAGTAGGCTCACCTAACCACTATACCGTCCGGGCGGCAGTTTGCGTCATTTACTATAGTTTTATACATATCCAATCCATTTTGAATTATATTTTTTTTTTTTTTTTTTTCTTTTTACGGAGATTTTCTTATTTGTATAAGTACAGGTGTATTCATTTTCTGTACAAGTACCCGAAACCAGTTCCTTGTAATGTTTTCGTGTAGGTATATAAAGAGAATTTTTAGCAGTTAGAATTTGTTGTGACTGTGTTAATTTTCCTTCTCAATGTATGTATATAGTGTTATATTGCTTGCAAATTAGGGAATTTTATTATTGCATTTCGATTCAGTTGAAGATGGGAAATTTTATATTTTACAAATGAAAAGTGCTGTTTTAAAAAACCATTTGTGAAACTTCAATCTAAAGTTTTTATACGTTAGACCAACAGTTTTATGCATTTCCTGATCTCGTTTTTTCCTTAGCAGTGGACAATTGTTAAGTTTCTTAATATCGAAATCTTTAGTATTCGGAAGCTCATTCCACTTCCACAAACATGGTCATATTTCAAAAGCCTGTAAAAATTATAGATTCAATATGTAGGTATTAAGTAACGTTTCAGAGATATGACAATAACGGAATAATGTTAAAGAAACATCCCCTATTTGCGTTAAAACGATATCATTAACGGAATTCATAGCTATAATCATTGGCGTAAATATAGCTATGAAATACGTCTCCTATGACCATGTCTCCTCCGGTGAAAGGTCAGTTTGATAAAGGGAACAAAGACAGAGTTCATCGAATTTGGTTAAATTTTCGGAAAGTATTCGAATCTTTTTAAAGGGTTGTTTCCTCTGACTTTCCCTTCTGTCGTTCAGATGATACGTATATCCAGACATAAAGATATTTATAAAAGCCAAAACCATTTTATTAATTTTTTATGCTTGTTTCTTTTCTAGACTGCAGATTAGGTAAACATAATATTATATTTTAAAGTAATAATGATCTGTAAAGGAATCTCGTTCTAGTAACTTTAATAGAAGTTAGTTGAAGGTCAAAATCAAATAAATGCAACTAAATTTATCTTATTCAAGGTCTCTCTGTCAGTTTCTCCATAGGTAAGTAATATGTGCTGAAGAGTAGAATGGGAATCTCGACGAGGAGTCGAAGAACATAGTTGAGTAATTGCTACCGCTGTCCGACAGAGGTGACGGATGACCAGCTAGGATGCCAACATTCTTTTCGGACTCTACGCTTACTTGCCATGACGTGTGCCTCCGATTACCACCTCCCAGTGGGTGCCGTAATTGCACCTCTAGAGCAATAGCACATTCCGTACCGTGGTAAAAAAGTATGTAGAGGGTTGAGGAATAAGGGGTTTCATTGGCCAGTTCAATCACTTGGAGCTAATATATATCGTTTCTTATTTGATGGGGACAAAGTAGTAAAGGAGGAAACCTCTATAAAAGGAAAACTAAGTGGTTAAAAGTGTTTTTAATCACATTCTTCAGCGCAATATCACTTTGAACAGAAATGAAATATTTTTCATCGCTAAATTTTAATTTAAATCAAGCAGTTATTTAGGATTAATTTTTATGAATATGCACTAGAGTTGATGAATTAAGAAAAGGAATCGTTTTTGAAAGCAACATTATCTCAAATGTCAAGGAACCATTCTTTGGAAGCAAAATTAACAAGTTAACCATTTAGCTTAGCCTTAACTGAAATTAACTCCATATATGATAAAATACATTTCCTTTTTCTTTAAAGAAATTATTTAATCGAAATCTGTAATATATGATTTAATTAGGCTGTAGATGCTGATGGCGTGTAGAATGCAGAATTCCATAACTGCAGTGAAACGCAGCCATTGTGACAATTCAATTTATTTTATTTCTGAAGAGTTTTCTAGAAACATATTTTAATTCATGCATAATTATGGGTGCAATCTACAACCATTCTTCATCATAATTTGTAAATTTTCTTTATCTTAAAGTTTAATACAGTGGATGAGAGAGAGAATGCAAGCCAAAACTTAAAAAGAAGTAAATAAAAACATTAAAGTGGGATGCATTCAGAAGAAAGTATGGGAGCGTTTATGTAAATACCAGCATCAGCAGGGTTATATAAGATTGTATGACACATATTAATTTGGAAATGATGTAATGTAAAGAGATTTATTATAAGCAGTTGCTATTTTTAGGATAGAAAGAGGAAATAGCGAAATTAAAATGGAGTGTTAAGGGACCATTAATAATCACAAGATCTGACTTACATATTTATATTTCATCTTGCGTTTGTAATATATGTACTTCAGAGCTAGTAAGAAATTCTGCATTTGAGGTACATCATACTTGCATTGAGATGCGTGTTAATCAAATAACTAATGTTTACATCTGTTAGCAAATAGCAATATAAACATTTGAAGCAGTGGTGGTACAATACCACAGTTAACCTAGTTAGGTCCAGAAAAAAACATATATCATTATTCAGAATATAAATGTCTTACACATTTACACCAACAAGAAACTTTTTTTATACTTTGAACATAAAATAAAAATGCCAGTGCCTTAGTTTCTTGCAAAACATATCGTCTTTTTCCCTACGAAAGATATGATTAAAATTTTTAAGCGGTTTTTACATAAAACTCAAATTTAGCTTATTAAAATTCAGTTTGTGCAGAAATTTCAAATTACGCTGTGGCAGTGGGATTTTTTTTTTTTATTTTTATTTTTTATTATCTTGTATCTAAACATGGCTTGAGAACTTCTAAGAATAAAAATAGAAGTCACAAACCGCAAGTGTCAGTCAAATCCTTTTAGGCGGAGCTAATGTAAGCGGAGGTTGTTTGATACATAACGGCAGCCAATCATACGACGGCATAAAGGAATGGCTTATTTCGCGGAAATGAGTTATATTTCGTTCTCGAGTTTTCTAAATCAGCGTGGCATAATCTCGTTCTTTGAATTTGGGTGACATAATTTTGAAATGTTACTCGAGATTTTGAAAGCTTTATTTACATAATGATTTTTGTTTCTGCAATCTTTAGAAAACTATTATTTTTAGAATAAACGAACGGAAGTAGACAAAATACTAATGGAATTTGTGAAAACACAATTTTCTGACAATACTGCAGAAGTAAAAGATCCAAAAATTAATAAAAGAGCCTTTAGAAGT